TCAAGATTCATCATAAGTCAAAAGTTACTAAATTAGGGTATTCATAAGGAGAAGTCAACTGAACATTTACCAAGCGTAACTTTCACATACTTCATCAGAAATTTCTCAACCAAAGCTAATTTTGAAGGAAATTAAATTCTCTACAACTTTGTCTCTCTAAGCTCAAGGCCAAAAATGCTTCATTTGAGAGATATGGGACAAAACATTACAAGTCTGCCTACTGGTGATTTATTTGGGTGTTTTGTTGGTTATTTATGTTAATATTTTGGATCTTGGGGTTAAATATTGTTCCCATTTGTTGGGTAAACATATTAACTATTTCATGATCACTCTAATCCATTTGTTTCCTTAAAATGGCTCCAGAGCTTGTACTGTAAGTAGACATTGGCTGAATAGGAATTCCTACCCTTGGGGGTTGTATGTTTCAACCCAGGTTATTAACAGGTGATTATATCCCTTGTAATGGCAAATAACTTCTCACCAATGGATCAATGAACGTTGATGCACTATTATGAAAACTTGCCATCGCTGACGTTGGTATGCCATATGGTTGTTCGCGACCACTCATAGGCATAAAAAATCCAGGCACATAAGGCCTAAAATTACTATTCCCCACTCGTCTTGGGGTTAGTGGTTGACCTTGTGTTCTTACAGGGGATAAAATTGGTCCATTTAGAGCGTTCGACGGTATTGTTGTTGTACTCATCATAGAGGGCGTTTATTGGGTCACATTTGCTGCAGCCGTATTTTCCTCTGTCGAAGGGGGTTGTTCTCCATGGTTACTTGGTGGATCTACCATCTTTCTAATGTATTTCCTTTTTGGAAATCGTTCGTTATTTCTGGCTACCCTATCACTCCTTAATCTCATGAAACAAAGTTTTAGAATCTTATATATGAAGAACTATATGCATAGAATTTTTTTCCAAAGAAATCAAGTAAATATCTAAGCACGGTCCCACTGGGCGTGCAAATTTATTTACCATGAATTTTGGTAAACAAGCGCTAGTCTTCAAAATCTATTGTTTTTGTTACTCACAGGATCGACTAGATTGACCCTAGAACATGTGCATAGAACTTCCTAAATATTTTTAATAATGGTTATTTCGACAGAAACAAGAACTTTAAAAGTAATATAAATATGGTTAATAAAAAGTGTAGGAATGTAAATTGACTTCGACAGGAAATGTAAAGGAACAAAAATGATATTGAAATAAGTAACTAGGCAAAAAATGAAATGATTCATACGTACATTTCTCAGACAACTCTTTTCTTAATCACATTTAGATACTTCGTGTATTTGTGAGTTTTAGTACAATGTGAATCTACTAATCTTCACCCTAAGACCCTTATTTATACTAATTCGACTCTAACGATAACAAACAATCATTTTTTCTAAAGATGACATGCTCTCACCTGCATTCATTTCGACCCTCTCAGGCTTCCACGCGTCTTGAGGAATGGATAAGGCCAAAAGACGGTTAATAGCCTTATTTCAAATATATCCACAGCAAAGCCTCAATTCGAATTACTTCGTCAAACTTCTTTCCAACTTAGGTAAAAATATGCTAAGTTCCAGACTACTATCTTCCCTACGAACGAAACTTCCCTTCGCTAGTTTTAGTCGAAAACTTCCAATAGTCTCTTCTTGATCGAATTTGCTCACTTATCCCAAAGACGTTTTTGATCTATTATTTCAAATGTTCTGGACCGACAAACTTATAGCTAACAACCCAACAACACCCTGAATTATGATGCACGCAACCCTAATAGGTGAGATGAGAAACAAATGAATACATATCCTTCTTCTGGTATAAGATCGATATCCAATGCTTTGTGATTCAAGTAGCAATCAAATCTCCTTTTGTGAACAAAAAATCACTAGAAACCCTAGCTTGCAATGAATAAGATCCTCTTGAATGATAGCCTCTTGTGTTGCATAGTGAAAATATCATTTGAAAAAACCCTAATTTGTGATGTATATACCAAGTTTTCTTTCAATAACTTACAATTTAAACCATGATTGAAGCCTTGAGATGATGATGAGATGCACTGATAAACAAATTTCTTGGAACCCCTCTTGGAGACCATGTGTTTTAGGGAAATAAACCCTAAGGCATGTGGGGATGATAAGTACGAGAATATGATGAATTCCTTAGCTCATGGCCTCTTGGATGACCTTGTGGATGATTTGTATTGTAAGTAACCTTGAAGCCACTTTACATGTTGAATAAGACAAATAATATTGAGAAGAGTAGCTTTAGATGATGTATAATCAAGCCTTTTTGAATTAATTACATGAATTTGTACAAGGGATCAACCCTAATCCATGATCCTTGTGTCTTTAATTGAAATAACCCTGCAAAAAGATGAAACCATAATGCACTATGTAAAATCTAATCTCCATGACCTTTGATTCAATGTATCAAGCCTTAATTGTTAGTGAATGCACGATGTGTTAGATGGCCTAATGGAGGGTATGTACATGAGGAGTATGAAATACATAACTCAACTGATTTGGATGAAAGGGTAGGACAAATTTGGGGTATGACATGCGTAATCTTGTCCAAAAACTTTAAATCACCAATGATCTTCAAGAAAAACCCCACCTTGGTTTTCTGATTCGAAACCCTTATAGATTTTTCAACCCAATCAATTATACTGAATATAATTGGATGTTATCAAATTATCTCTTGGTCATACAACAAAAATGATTGTGTAGTTGTTGTATTTATGCAATGATAGAGGATGAAGATGATGAATATATTTGTATATTTTTAGTTTCGTTGATAATAAATGATGTATGAATGACTATATATAAGTGTGTGTGTGTGTGTGTGTGTGTGTGTGTGTGTGTCTATGTGTGTGTGTGTGTGTGTGTGTGTGTGTGTGTGTGTGTGTGTGTGTGTGTGTGTGTGTGTGTGTGTGTGTGTGTGAATGAGAAAACAAAAAACATTAGATTTGAAAAATTAAAAAAGTGGGAGCCGACCCATTCGAAGTGGGAGTCGACTCATAAGGGCAAGGGAGCCGATTCATACAGCTTGGGAGTCGACTCCTTTTGGACAAATTTTTTTTTTGTTGAAAATTAGCTTCAGTAGGAGTCTATACACACATATAGGAGTTGTCTCCTTTGGGTTATGTATTGACTCTAGATGTGTGAGAGTCGACTTCTTTGGACCAAAGAATCATTTTGTAAAAACGCTTTCAGTGGGAGTCGACCCAGAGCTCGAGGGAGTCGACTCCTTAGTGTTGTGTGTCGACTCCAAAATCCTTATGTATCAACTCATGCTTTCAGTGAGAGTCGACTCCTACCACAGGAAGTCGATTCGAAACACTATTTTTCATAAAATTCATATTTTTGATGATTTTAACTTGTTTAAAATATTTTTTCATGATCTAAAGGTGTCCTAAGATGAAAATATAACCTAGAAATAAAGAGATAATATCCAACATACAAATATCATATATTACCTAGTTTTGACATTATTCAAAGCATCTAAGAGAGGATATCGCACTCACACTTAGCACAAACGCTTTCCTCATGACGCTAACAAAGATGACAGCTGTAAATGCATCTGACGACTCTCCACGATTCACTCATAGCAAAAACCAAGTTTGTTATTTCCTCTCTACTATATATAGAGAATGCACCAAATTTAAGTGACATGTTTCAAACACAATTTCAATTAATTTTTTCTCCTCACATACTGACTTGAACGTTGGAGTACTAACCTTGTAGGTCTCTCTTATCAACCATGTAGGAAACTCAAAATCACAATTACCTTCGATCATCACTCTATTTCTGATTCCAGAACAGAACACCATCCACCCAACATATAAAACACTCCAAAAGCGGCAGAAAGTCCCTATATAGGTACAAATAAAATACCATCCACCTAAAACTTATATACCCCAAAGACCATCACTTTACAAGTAACAAACATGAGAAAAATTATTTCTATAAACATATCATACAAACCACAAGAAACAACTACCTAAATAAAATAAAACTTAGTTTAAGCTTAAACAAATTCTCTCAAATAAGAATCTTGTTTTAGAGGAAATGCCAAGAGAATAAAAACCAACTTTAGATGAAGCCAACTAATCTGGATCAATAAAAGAACTAGGGATGGCAACGGTTCGGGTCGGGTGCGAGTTTCACACTACCCACACCCGCACCCGAAATCATCACCCGAACTCGAAGGATATTCGGGTGACAAAATCACGCCCGCACCCGTTGGGTTCGGGTTTTTTCACCCAAACCCAAACCCGCACCAAAAATCAAAAAAAAAAATTACAATTAAAATAAGGTCTTTTTACATTGTCTTCAAGAAAATGCAATCACAATTATCTTAACATAGTCTTCAACATCTTAACATTACAATTAAAATTAAATTCTACAATCAAATTACAACTTTTCAACAACAACAAGCTAATATATTACAACTTTCTTGTGTAAGATTAGATGTTCCTTCCGGCTCCGGAGTTGTGTTCACTTGATCTATTTTACCTATTACAAAGAAAATATATTTCACATGTTAAGAAACACTAATAGATATTATCATCATAATTTTAAATTGTAATAACAAACATGTGAAACTTAAAACATATAAAACATGTAACTTAATTCTTGGTAATGCTGAACTTTTAAATTGTAATAAGAAGAATCCTTTAGACCACTTCTTGATACATACAGAGATGTAATAACTTACAACACAGATAACATATCGCTTTTAAATTGTAATAATTTTAACATGCCATATTCTTGATAATTTATCATGTTTGCAACTGGAATAAAACTGCCTATAATAATGTTTGTCTACTAACTTTCAGCATGCTTGCATGCGCGTTAAATATCATGTTTTTGAACTGTCTAGAAACATAAGCACAACACTAAAAGAACTGTCTAATATCAAAAGCGTTAGTGCAAATTAGTCGGGGCAACAATGGTGGAAGATAGAAACAATAATACTCACCATGTTAACATATAGAAACAACAACTTCTAATCTTCAAAATGGTAACCCAAACAACCTTCCATCAACTCAGCTGTATTAACAAATAAATTGATGTTAAATAAAACACTAAAGCTTAAAACTTCTACACCAAATGAAGTACAAAATACCTTCATCGTCTGACTCCATTTCATTCAACACGGTAGCAATTTCTTCTGCAACTCTAAAAATTCCTATATATATTATATAACAAGAAAAATTAGTAATATATTATTTGCCAATGACATACCAAAGTAGTAATACATTATATAACAAAAATTAAGGTAGAAAATAAAAATAATTTGACAATGACATACAGTTATTCTCAACAGCCCATAGCCAACTCCTAGCACACATCAAAGCCTCTACGGTAGTCCAGTTAAGTCGGCTACGATGAGGACTCAATATTCTACCACTATTACTGAAGGCCGATTCAGAAGCTACTGTAGAGATAGGAATAGCTAACACATCTCTTGCAATTGCTTGAAGTGTTGGATACACAACTCCATTTACCTTCCACCAATTCAAAATGTCAAATTCTGGAGTATTTTTTATAACTGGCTCTTTCAAATAATGATCTAACTCATACTTAACACTTGAACTTGAGTCTTCGGCAACGGCAATTGTCTCAACGTATGCATCAAATTCAGCCTCGTCATCAATAATAGCAGTTGTACCAATGGATAGAGCAGTAGGTTGTGCATCTCTAAGTTTAATCTGTTGATAATCATTGAGCAAATCATAACACATGTCTTTGATTCTACTAACTTGTGCACTTGATTCTTCTCCATACAACTTAGGAAACCAGAAATTAAGTACAACCATCTTCTTCCTAGGATCCAAAACTGCAGCAACTCCCATCATATCATGAACACCACTCCAATAATTTTGAAATTTTTCCATCATTCTTGTGGCCATCATCTCAATAATTGAATTGGAGGACTTCTTCCATTCCTCTATTGCCAACTTAATCTTACAAATCTTAGGAAAGTACAAGTTGGCAGTTGGAGTATTTTGTACCAGAAATCAACTCAGTTACTTCATTAAATAATTTTAAGCACCCACAAACATCTTTAGCAAATTGCCATTGTGAATTAGTTGGAAGACAAGTGTACAAAGACTCACGTTGCTTCAACCGAATAAATACATCCTTGTACTCTATGGCAATATCAAGCATCTTATATGTGCTATTCCATCTTGTTGGACAATCTAGAGCTAACTTTCTAGTGCAAATAATTCTCAATTGTCTAGCGGTATCTTCAAATTTTTCATACCTTTTAGGTGTAGCACTCCAAAATCCTACACTATCCCGAATATTTTCTATGCCATCCTTAATCACTTGTAGCCCCTCCTGAACAATTAAATTTAGGATGTGCGCACAACAACGCATATGTAACAAAGACCCATCCCTTATTAAACATTCCAACGACAACTTATCCTTAATTTTCCTAATCATTGAGTCATTTGTGCTACAAGTATCTAAAGTAATCGTAGAAAGCTTTGAATCAATGTTCCAGTCCATTAAACAATTAACAAGTGCTTCAGCAAGTCTTTCACTAGTGTGAGGGGCTGGAACATAAATGAACCTAACATAATATTTACAAAAAACAAGTCTTTCACTTATTGTCATTAAGAACAAAAAAAAAGATACAATTAAGTTATAAAATATAAACATTGTTACCTCAAGATTCGACTATGTAAAGTCCACGAGCCATCAATATAGTGAGCCGTAACCGCCATATACCCTTTTGTTTGGTTGCTTGAAGTCCACATATCTGTGGTAATTGCCACTCTCCCTTCATGGTTATCTAACATCTTCATAGCACATTTTTTCTCAAAATCATAAACTTTCAATACCTCCTTCTTGATTGTGTTTCGAGTAGGAACTTTAAACAATGGTTGGAGAGAAACAAAGACTCTTCTAAGACCAATGTGATCCACAATTGATAGTAGATAATCATGCATAATAATAGCTTCAGCAATCAACTTCTTCACATGTTCTGGATCATAAGTTCCAATTCCCAACTCTTGCTTTCCTTCTGAGATAGTCGGTAGGAGAAATGGTTGTCCTTTGTCATGGTTTCTAGTCTTGATCTTTTTTTGAATACAACTCAAGAGATGTCCTTTCAAGTGATTTGTTCCATTCTTTGAAGTGCCACTAAGTTGTTTTTTACACCAGATGCATTCAGCCTTATCTTTTCCATTCACTTTCATCTTTTTAAATTCTTGCCACACATTACTTCTAAGTTTCTTTGATGCAGGTTCTAAAATTGTATCAATTTCTTCTTGTTGCCCAATATCAGGTTCAGGTGTCGGATTCGGATTAGAAGATACCTCCTGAGTTGGACATGTACTTTCTTGTGTAGGATTAGATGCTCCTTCTGGTTCCGGGGTTGTGTTCACTTGATTCATTTTACCTACTACAAACAACAAGAAATTTCATAAACAATTGTATAAAAGAAAATTAACACAACTATACACATGGGCAGCCAAAGAAAGATACACAATATGATTAACACAACTATACACATGGGCAGCCAAAGAAAGATACCGAAAAATAAGTCTTACTAATTGAAAATCCTCCCAAGTTACTAAGCATTTAGTATATAGGTTAGATCAGGACAAAACAAAATCTATGTCGTCTGTTCTATATGTTGTGCATATTCAAAGCAGAGCTACATGAACTTAACATAGAAAAACAGGAACAGTTTGATTTCATCCAAAAATGAGCCAAAGAAAACAGAAAAGTATAAAACAAACTGTTCTATTTAGTTCTGCCCTTTGAGGCTTGTGCCATACCCATACGCTTGGCATTCAAACAGCAGCGAGAGACAGCAGTTCTGTTTGTTTTTCTTAGTCCCACTCAAACAATGGAATGAAAAATGTTCCACTTTTGTTGTGTTTCTACTTTCAATAAGTATTGACAAATAGCGCAACAGAACAAGAAATTCCTACTGTCCCTTGATATGTGATTTAGTACATAGTGCTGTAAAATAGTGGTGCACCAGAGCGCAGTAACATGTCAGAATTTCAACAAACCTCTAGTTTCTGCAATTCACAATTGACGATACTACTTTGAATGCAGACCAAATATAAAACCAAATTCACGTGCTCTAATTTGTTTCAACCTGTCAACAAAGCTAAGAAGTAAAAAACAGATACTAGAGCTACTATTTAGCATAAAAGATATTTGTAAACAAAGTGACATCACTCCCAACGTTAGGGATTAAACTGTTTGAATCATATAACAGCCACTTTTTGGTAACCTATTGAGTAGTAAGTAATTTTGCCAATTGATTTTATTCATTAACACTGTGTTCATGAATAACAAAATCACGAGTGTGTTGGAATATCAAGAGTTGATTTTCTAACAAATGATTAAAATGTATTGCTTTACTTTCTAAAGTTCATTTACAAGTAGTCAAATCCAGTTAAATTACCTACATATCACATCTCGGTATCTCCTTATGAGACTTGGATTCCATACGGTTAGAGAAAGCACACAATATAGGGAAGGCATTCCAATTGTTAGATGCAGATTGAACATCTCATATTTTAACTCCACCAATTTGAATCTAAGATATATCTCGAAATATTAGTCACCCTATATTTATCTAACGGCCAAAAGTGGCTACAGAGAATCCAATTACGTAATGAGGTTTAGAAATTAGTCTCCCGTCTATGTTCACCAAAACTAGATCAAAAAATCTAAACAAAACAAAATAATTGAACATTTCATTAGACACAAATTCAAGCACATAACCGCAAATTGGTTCTGACTCCTCTAAGATGAGAATTATGGATCATTGAATAGAAAATCAAAGGTAGATATTGCAAGTATATCATAACAAACCACCCATTTGTTGAAATAAAAATCATTTATTTTCTCACTTTATAGTAGACAATTTCTTGCAAATTTGAATTCCATAAGCACGCACAATCAAATAATCTCCAATTTAAACCATCAAATAGACATTGGATGGCTCACAATCCAACTTTGTATTGTAGAGTCGGTCAAAATTTTATGACTGAATATTTTAATAATCAAACTGATCAGTTGAACTGAATCATAAACTAACACTATCTGTAGTTCAATTATTTGGGCGGTTACCCTTTAAACCATAACACAAAGGCTTCACTCGGTTGAACTTTTGGTTCCATTTTTAAAACATTAATAGGAATGTGTCAAATGCGCCATTCTTAACTAGACAAAATCTACAACTAAAAGCCAAAGGCAAATACAAAATGAACTGAATTTCAAGAAAACTTACAATCATAGTATCGTTTCTCAAGCCTCTTATATCCCATAGTTTGAGCAGCATCAATAGGTTTCCCAGAAGGATAATACTCTTCATTCTAAATTCCTAACCATCCCAACACCATATGAAGAACCCCCCCACACCATGTTCCGGGCCATGTTCCCGTCATTTCTTAAATACAGGCTGAGAGACAAAAATATAATGCGACAGAAAATGAATGAAAAAGAGGGTTACCTTTTGCTGATATAACACCTCCAGTAGTACATCCAGCAATAGCAGTATTTGTGATGTCGTGTTTTGCTCGTGCCTGAAAGAAAAAAAAGGACCCAGATGTCGTAATGAAGAGGAAAAGTAATGATGTTGTCCGGAGAAGAGGAAGGGCACGGTGAGAGGACAGCCGGAGGAGAAGAGATCGTGGATGGAGGATCGCGCGAAGGAAGATCGCTCGCGGAGCGATTACCGGTCAGAAGAGAGGAGGCGCACAGGCGGAGGGAGGATCAAAGAGATATCGGAGCGATTATCGCGCGAAGGAAGATCGCTCGCGGAGCGATTACCGGTCACCAGAGGATGTCGCACAATGGTGGTGGTAGGTGGTGCAAGTGAACAATAAACCCTACATTTTATTTTTAATTATTGAAATATATATATATTTAGGGATAGTTTTGTAATTTAACATATAAGCGGGTGTGGTTTCGGTTTTCGGGTGCGGGTTTAAGCTATCCCAACCCACACCCTAAATATCGGGTGGCACCCGAACCCGAACCCAAACCCAGTCAATTCGGGTTTCACCCGTTGACTCGGGTGCAGGTGCGGGTGGGGCCCGCGGGTTTGGGTCTGCTTGCCATCCCTAAAAAGAACCAAACCCACTCTATTGAAAGAGAACCTAATAAGAATATTATCCATGAGGAGATCATTATAAGCCGATGATACCGATTAAACACCCTCATTTCCAAATTGCCACCACCAACGATAATTGTACAGGGAAATGATAAATTCGTGAATAACCAAAAGGAGATTCATTCCCCATTTTTTACATAAATTATCCATAAACCAATAAGAGGATTCATCAATCCTAAAACCAAGAAAAGAAACCACTTTCCATTAAATTAAGACATAATAAAAATTAGAAAACCTACCCCTATAAAGGAAGAAACAACATAGAAGAAAGGGTCCCACTCTAGAGGCCATAAGCGTCTGAGACTAGCCATAAGCGTCATTTACTTGGCCGACCTAAGTTAACCAAATGAAAATCACGAACACACATGTCACCTCTCTACTTAGGTTTACAAGCATCTTCACCCCCACTCGACAAGAACCTTATTTATATTCTAACTATATTTATTCAAACCTTAACAAACTGAAAGGAAAGAAACAAAAAACAAAGTTTTTCTGTTGAATATTTATGATAAGGTAAGATCATGAAAATTGCAGTGTTATAAAGATTGTAGACAAGTGTTATTGTTACTAAAGAGCATAATAATTTACTAAGGAGCACAATAATTTATTAACACAATTATGTTACTAAACTAATAGGAATATTTTCTACTATTGAAATTAAGACTAAAGTAATTTTGTATCGGGAAGACAAATGTTAGATGGTGTGTTGGTGGAGAACAAATTAATGGATATCAAGAAGAAGAAGAGAAGGAGTTATGTTCTTTTCAAGGTCGATTTTGAAAAAGCTTACGACAAAGTTAGTTGGGACTCTCTTAGGTTTATGCTAAGAATTATGAGTTTTGGAAATGTTTTGATGAGGTGGATGGAGGCGTTAATTTTTCGTAGCCATATGTCGATTTTGGTTAATGGTAGTCCGACTAAGGAATTTACGATGGAGAAGGGATTGAGACAAGGAGATCCCCTATCACTGTTTCTTTTTGTCCTTGTGGCCGAGGGTCTATCGGGTATGATTAGGAAAGCGGTGAATTGGGGAATACGTTGGTGTGAATATTCATGAGAATTGTAGTATTGATGTATTACAATTTGCGGATGACACTTTGATGGTGGGAGAGGGGAGTTAGAAGCATGTGTGGACAATCAAAGAGGTTTTGAGGGGTTTCAAATTGGTTTCGCGATTAGGAATCAACTATCACAAAAGAAAACTTATCGGCATCAACACTAACTCTAATTTTTTGGTAGCAACTGCTTATTTTCTTTCATGTAGGTAAGAGGACAAGCAGTTCATCTTCTCGGGATTTCCATTGGCTATAATGCTATAAGGATTGTGACTTGTCAACCGCTTATTTTGAAGATGAAGAATTGGTTATCTAGTTAGAAGGGGCGTGTCCTTAGTATTGGCGGGAGAATCACTCTTCTAAATTTGGTTTTAAGCTCTCTTTTTTTTTGTTGCTATATTTCTATAAAATGCCAGTTAGGATTGTCAAAGAGATTAACAAAATCCAAATTAATTTCTTGTGGAGTGAAACGGAAGATCGTAGAAGGATTCATTGGATTGTTTGGAAGGATGTTTGTGTGTCGTTGGATAAAGGCAGTTTGAGTTTAAAAAGTATCGAAGATTTTAATGTGGCGCTTCTCCTTAAATGGAGATGGAGGATCTTGAAAGGCACAAATTCTTTATGGTTTCGGATATTAAAAGAACGTTACGAAAATGTTTGTTTGTAGATAGCTAATGAGGCTCAATTTCTTTATTCCAAAAATCTAAATCCCATTGGTGCGCATACCTTATTTTGCTTGAGCAGAATCGTACAGAGGGAGTATTCATCTAGTCTTGCAGGTTCGAAATAGGATGTCTTAAATCTCTTTTCAATATAACTTGCTTACCAGGAAGAAAAAAAAACTAGTAAGAACATTTTTCTATTTACATGGTCAAAAGTTTCAATGAACATAAACAACAGGTTCTAGTTATACTATAAACTAATTAGTGATGAATAGGTCTAACGAAAAATTAGGTAAAAAATTTACAATAAATTAATTCAATTTGACGCATTAAAGATTTTAAATATAAATTCTTAAATTAAATATTACGAATATGACTTTTATTAATAAAATTCAAGGAATTCAAATCCAATTTCTTCGTGTTTTCAAACACCTTTTGTTCCATTTGTGCTGTTTTCTTTATTTTTTAATACTTAACTATGATACTATGAAAATTTTAATTAACAAATAATCATATGCTTACAGCTCATTGATGCATTA